TGTTTTCTAAGCTACCTTTTGCAAAAAAATAAAATATAAAAATAAAAATTTACATATTTCTTTAGCCATCTTGTGTTAGCAAAGTCAATTTTACTATTTTTAAATAAGCATCTTTTCTTTGGCCATTATGTGTTGTCATTTGATATCAATTGTAAGTTAGTTTTATAGGTTTTTAAATTATTAACTTAAAACTTAAAAAAATTAAAGTAAGTTGTGAATTTGTTTAGCACATTTTTTGATAATTTGTGAAAGAATTGAATCTGATTGCTTAAATAAGTTGTCACATAACATTTTTGTTGTGCAAATATGTGGAGGGCTCAAAAGTTATCATTAAGACAAAAGAATTACAAATAATTTGTAGCTTAATAAAATTTCATTTGTTTTGGCCAAATAAACGTCAAATAAATTAGAATTAATTACCTAAAAGTCATATTTATAAATGTTATGGTAACTCAACTCCTATTCTAAGATAAAAGGTTCATATTAAATTACATTATTTTATGCCAAAATTATGCATGAATTTTTTTTATATTATTATTACAAAAATGATATTGTGATAGTTATTATGTCAAAAAAGGCTACGTTCATCATATTTTTACATAATATTTAATGTGTGACATATACAATAGCTGTTATAATAATATCCTTGTATAGCTCTATTTGTTTGGACAAAAAATATTTTCTAATGAAAAACATTTTCTACAAAAACCTTTCTTCAAAAAATATTTTCTGATTTTTTACGTTTGTTGGTGGTGATGAAACGAGGATAGAGGTAGTGGGCCGATGGCTACTGTTATGGCGACAATGATTGTGAAAGTGAGAATAACTATGGTGGTGTTGTGATATTGATAAAATTTTAATTTAAAAAATATTTTCCGCCTCGTAAAAGTAAAAAACATTTTCTATCCATATAAACTTGCTTTCTATTGACCATGAAAAATATTTTTCGTTAAATTTTATTTTCCATTGTACCAAACATTAAAAAATATAGAAGACATTTCTAAAAATATATTTTCCGCACCAAACAAAGTGTAAGCCTCCTTCACATTCATATTTCAATCATTAATAGTTGTGTATACTCAACAAAATTGGTATAAAAATATGATAAACATAAAAACAATTTGATTTTGATTTCCAAGAAAAACATTTTAACAAATTCAATTTTAATTTTTCATATTTTTTTGGTTTTCAATGAATTTTTTCAATATTTTAAACAATTTTTTTAATTTTGACACACCTAACATAAACACACTAATATTTGTGAAAAAAAGATCTTAAAAAAATTCACTAAATACCAAAAATATAAAAATATATATACTAAAATTCAATACATTTTTCTTATTTTTATGTATTTATTAATTTTTTTAAATATTTTTTCACAAATATTTTACTACTTAGACATTTAAAAAAGTAATTTAAAAAAGTAAATTGTTTAAAATTTTAAAAATATTAACTAAAAACACAAAAAAAACAAAAAACAAAAAAACTCAATTTTCAAAAAATTAAATTCAAAAAACTAAAAAAGGATTTTTTTTAAAACATTTTTTTTTTTTTTTTGGTGATAAATCTATTTTTTTGAACAATTTTACTATTGTCAATTTATGAAAACCTCTTAAAAATTATATATAATATTACATAATTCTACAAAAATATTCAAAGTTCAATGGGTTCAATTGAACTCACTACTTCATGCATAGCTCCGCCCATGCACACAGCAAAAGCTCAGTCACTTCCTCTTCAATTTTTTCAGAGAAAGTCCGTCATTTTTTTGACTTTGATCTAATTTAGCTTCCATTTTTACAAAGCTAAAATCGATCAGTATTATGTAGGAAGATGGTCTGAATGATGACACGAACTTCACAATATACTCTCTCCTAAAAATGTGAAAACCCTTTTTTTAAATACTCGAGCCAAATCCACGATTTCACAACTTTAATCTTTGCACATCAACACAACTAATCAATATCATAAAATAAAATAAAAATTGATAATAGCCAAAAATGAGAATTGGTTATATTTTCTTTACACTTTAGCAAAATTATTTTTACATTTACCATTGGAATTATTCTAAATCATTTTTATAAATGGGAGAAAGAACCATAATGATTAATCCATGAAAATAGGAAAATTATTGAATACTCATTCTCGACAAATAAAAAACTATAACATACATAATTCATCTTTTATTTCTCAATTATCTAAAAAAGATAAGTCCCTACGTTTCACTCATAAATTTTTTGATTATATGATTAGTTTGAAATACCACATAATAAATATTGTCATATAATATTTTAAAATTACTAATTAATTACCCTGATTGTAACATTGTTGCTTGTAGTATTCACATCCACGTTTTGCTTGATATAACGGTGGTGCTACATGCACCAATTAGTATACTAACTAATATACCAACACTAATTACGACATTATTATTGACCCCATTCATTATACAAATTACAAACACCAAAAACCTCTTAAATTATGCCATATCATCAATTGGTACAAATAGCATTATTCAAAAAGAAAACATGACCAGCATTCCAAAAGCAGTAAGTAAAAATGAGGTAGCTCCCTTATTTTGGAAGAAGGAATAAAAAAATAAAAATAAAAAATGAATCTATGCAAGATCGATCAAATAAGTATAGATGCATGTATACATGAGATATCCAATATGGGCTATTTTGGGAAGTTGGCTAAAAGCCACTTTTTTTGGTTTGTAGCAAAAGCCAAAAGTTAGCTTTTTTGTCTTTTTTTTCATTTGGGAAGTTGATTTTTAGCCAACGGTGAAATTACAATTTTACCCTCATGGGTCAAAATGTGTTACATAGGTGAAGTCGTAAATATTTTAAATAAATGGGGGTAGTTTAGTCATTTTATTATGATTTGACATCATAAACAAACATTAATCAAAAAAGTCAAAAGTCACTTTTTACCAACTTCCCAAATCATTTGTCTAAAAAAGCCAAAAGCTTAGTTAAAAGCCAAAAAACTACTTTTTACCATCTTCCCAAAATAAAGAAACAATAGGACATCTGAAATATCATAAGCAATCACCATACCTTTCTCTAAAAATTTCAGATGGCTGAGAAGAGTTTTCTACTTCTATGTCCATTTCTGACATCAGCATTTGCAAAATCAGTGCAAGAAAGTTTGTCCTTTTTGGAAGCCTATGACCCAACAGAATTTCAAAACCAGGTTTCCCTGAAGACACTAAGAAAGCCACAGAGATAGACAGCATTCCTGCAAGTTTCAAGTCCTGAAATTAACACGGTTTAAGGTGGTGAAATAGATGAAATTGTGTATATCAAGTGATATTCAAGCAAATGTCGTGAAAATAAGCAACAGGCACACAGAAATACAATCAATTGATTTGGACCAGTTTCAAGTAACTTTAATTGCAAACACTGCATGGATAGAATCATGTCTATAAACATGTACAGGATGTGACAAAATGTTGTTAAATAGCTAGCAGATGATCACCTCTGAAGATAGCATGCATGTACCATGCATATCCAAAGTATGTCCAGTTAAAAAATATATATCTATACTATATATTAAGCAAAAGGGGGTATTTAACCCCAAGCCTTGTGAGAGCTTCAATCTCCCAATCTAAATTTCTTGATTTTTTGATTTAAAAAAAAAAAAAAAAAAAAATCCATTTATTAATTTCTCCCAAATCCCAAGTCTTACCATCATAATAACACTTTAATGCATTAAGAACAAGCATAAAAAAAATTCTTTGAAATCCAACACATGAATTCCTTGAAAAGTCCAAACACATATGATTATTATCTCTCATAATAACACTTTAATGCATTAAGAACAAGTATAAAAAAAAAAAATTTGAAAAGTCCAATACATATGATTATTATCAAAATATTAAACCTTAATATAATATAATAATAATAAAAAGACATTTAATTTTTTAAAAAGTCCAACACATATGATCACTACACCACTACCACCTCCACTTCACCTACTCCTTACCTACTACACACTCACCCTCTTCTATATATAGGAATCATGAATCATTGTAATTGATATCAACATTATATCAATCAATAATACAATTCTCTATTTCTCTTTATACATTAAATTTTCTACAATAAACATGTACAGGATGTGACAAAATGTTGTTAAATAGCTAGCAGATGATCACCTCTGAAGATAGCATGCATGTACCATGCATATCCAAAGCATGTCCAGTTTAAAAAATATATATTTTAAAAGAAAAGAAAAGAAAAGAAAAGAAAGAAAGATAATAACAGGACACATTAGGATGTGTGAGCAACAAGTGTCCACCCACAACATGCCAATGTCCATATGTTGAACACCAACACTAGACCACCCGAGGAGGTATGACCATGCTTCCTAGCCCTTCACTCCGATTAAGAGATTATTTATTTATTTATTTTGATCAGCCTCCAATTAAGAGATTAGAGTCTCCTCTCTACAGGATTTCATAATTTAGCCCCAATAAGCAGCACATGAGCTCATAATTAGAGTCAGCATACCCTAAATAAAATTAATAGTGAAACATAGAAACTGGAAAATGCTCCCTATCTAAAAATTAAATGACAGATTGCATTTCATATATTGTTCGAATAATTTAATAGATAGGTAGTTCCTTGATAACCTCCCACTAAGAATGTGTTAATCATAAACACACCAATGCACTTGCATGATGTAAAGCAGAAAAAACTTATATATATATATATATATATCAAACCGATGACTGACATCTGACTTTTGCCAATCAAAAATAAAAATACCGATGACTGATTTGATCATTCTTGTGGACACCAGCTTACCTGTATACCATTTCCACCACAAGCTACACAGTCTGCCAACCCCTCGAGGATAGCACTGAATCCTTGAACAGAAGAAGCATTTTTTGCATCATTAGGAGCTCCAGCATTCTCCACCTCCTCTTTACAGCCCGAGCAGAACATGGCCATTAGTTTTGGACCTGCATTCATCAGTGCAACATCAACTGTTGATAAAACTATGAACAAGTAGTTACACCTCAACTCTAGAAGTTTGAAATTCAGAGAGAGAGAGAGAGAGAGGACAACATGAAATGCAGAGAACTATAAGATTATAACGTCCATACAGTACGAATGCATAGAACTACAAGATTATAGCATCAATATAGTAAGTTATTTTCCCCTTTTCTTGAAGTCACACAATATATCTAAAATTCTTTCTACATAGAATCCACCAACACGAAAAAGGAGTATAAAATTCATTTGGTCGGATGCCTAGGTAAGACCCCATCAGCATTTCATCATATAGCATTCTGTCATATATCTGGTGGTTCAGTCACCATCGTCACCACCACAATACACTCACCACCTATTACCCTGTGAATGCCTTAGATCTGAATAGAGAAGAAAGGTGAGATATTGCATGCATTTATGCCATTATTCAAGTCAATGCAAGCTTTTTCTTTTTCTTTTTTCTTTTTTTGTTAAGTAGCAAGCTTTTTCATTGTTTCTACTTCAACAACTTTTATTATTACAGAAAGAAAGTACTGCTGGGTATAACACAAACCAATGTGACAAATTCTGCTGTCTTAAAGTTTTATTAAGCTTAAAAAAAACTCCATCAGGCTTTTCTTCACTGCTATGAAAAAATTCAAAACCATTATAAAAATAACACTCCAGCCAGGTTCAGATAGTTCACAAAGAACAAAGATGAGCCAAAGCAAATATCATTAAACGGTATCATTAGAAACAAGCAAAATCCATTGGGTTAATATACCTGATCCATAAGTATCAAGCACGAATCAGGGACAAAGAGGAGTCCCAAGAAGTAAAATATATATAATTCTATGAGATGTTAAAAACTCCTTTCCAAGATAAGAGAAAGATAACTTAACAAAAATTTAAGGTGACAATTTATTTATTTATCAAAAAAGAAGCTAAAAGATTTAGAAGGCATGTGTGAGAATAAAAATAAGCCAGGGAGACAACCTTGAAACTTTAGGAAGCTAGTAACTTGAGAATAAAAATAAGCCAGGGAGACAACCTTGAAACTTTAGGAAGCTAGTAACTAGAACAACTGGCACAAACCCAAAATTAAGTGAGTAATTCATTAAAATCGAAGGTGAAAGAAAAGGGGAACTTACAATTTAGTAGCAGGTATAGAAGATGCACAACTTGCTTTTGCACGCTCAAACCAGATTCTTTCCTTAACAAATGTGAAATACTTTGAAACACCAAAATTCTTGCAAATCTATACAAAACAGTGTTGCATTAAGAATATAAAACATTCCACAAGACATGAGACATAATGCAAAGTAGTCAACTTACTTCCCCCTATCCAAGTAAGCATTACTTCTCATGAGAATCATATTCATAATAGAAACAGCTTCCAATCTTACACATTCTTCAGTACTCCTCATGGCTATTTGACGCATCAGTTCAAAGACAGAAAACCAATCTAAACAAGATGTCAGCACAGCAGATCCATGATTTCTTTGTTCCTTTTTACATAAACTTTCTGCATTCAATAAACTCCTTCTAAATGTAATAAGGCCTGAATCAGACATCTCATCAACATCCGCAGAGAACAGAGTTCCAGTTTCAGCACATTTGAATCCATAAATATCCTCAGTGTTGTCCAATGAAGGTCCTTCAACTATGACATTATCCCTGAGTACAGTATACTGGACAAATCAAATCAAAGTTCATAAGCATGTGAACTAAGACAACAGTTCAGGAATATTGCCCAGAAGGGCATGAAGCTGTAAAAAGTACAAGATAACATAACAAAAGGTACCAAGTAGTTCCACAGGACCATGAGACTAACTAACATAAAAAAAGGTGCCAAGGGTCTTTAATATTTATTTTGTATTAATTAATCTTATTCCTACTTCTCCTTTTATTTTACTTATTGTTTTCCACTAACCCACTTCATACATGTTAAACCCACTAAACCTAACCCACTACTACCTACCACACACACTCACCTCCTCACCTAACCTACCACTACCACCTCCACTTCATCCCCTACCACTTCACCTACTACCTTCTTCTCTTCTATATATTTGATCATTGTAAACATAACAAAATATCAATATACAGAACAATCTTGTAATACAAATCAATAATATACATCAATTTGTTTTTTTACATGGTATCAGAGCCGACTCTCCGGAGTACCGAGTGTGGGCCCCTGGCGTCTCTCGGTGCATGTGGGCGGGCTTGCGAGCTGGCAGGCTACTGCACGAGGACGTGCAGCCTTATGGGGGGTGGATTGTCAGGCCCCGGTGTCCCACATCGGGAATGAAGGGGGAGTTCCTGAGCTATAAAAGTAAAAACCTGGACCCTTATATAGCATCGAGGCCTTTTCCCAAGTGGTGAAATCCCTATTAGAACTCCCCAGTTAAGCGTGCTTAGGCTGGAGTAGTTCTAGGATGGGTGACCCACTGGGAAGAACAAATCCGTGCGGGCGTGGCCCAAAGCGGACAATATCGATAACGTGTGAAGGGTCGGGGCGTTACAAATGGTATCAGAGCAAGTTTCGATCTTGGGTCCTGTGGGTTATGGGCCCACCACGCTTCCGCTGACATGACCCCGTAAACTGTCCTGCTACATCGGTCCGACATGACCCCATAAACTGTCTTCTACATCGGTCTGACACGACCACACAGTGTCTGCTACAACGGTCCGACATGACCCCATAAACTGTCTGCTACATCGGTCTGACACGACCATACCGTGTCTCCTATCCTGTTTTATTTTATTTATCAGTTTATTTTTCTGTTTTGTAACTCTCTCCAAACTCAAGTTGGTTTGTGTCTAACCTCCTTGAGTTTGAGGGGGGCTGTTAAACCCACTAAACCTAACCCACTACTACCTACCACACACACTCACCTCCTCACCTAACCTACCACTACCACCTCCACTTCATCCCCTACCACTTCACCTACTACCTTCTTCTCTTCTATATATTTGATCATTGTAAACATAACAAAATATCAATATACAGAACAATCTTGTAATACAAATCAATAATATACATCAATTTGTTTGTTTTTTTACAATACACTATTATTTGTCAATTGCCAACTCTCAAAAGTATGTGGAGTTCTTTTTAAGTTTACTGAATTTTGGGATTTCGTTTTATATATTTGTTATCTACTTTTATATTAAGTAACTTTAACCCTATTTCTTCTCCCCCTAGACTATTTATTCCTACTTTTACTCTATTAACCCACTTTGCATGCTATTTATGTGGGTTTGTTTTATATAATTATCATTTAAATTAGTAGTAATTTTACATAATTATCCTCTTGGTTTGTATTTATTTTACATATTTGCCCTCTCAATTAATAGAAAAATGGGCATGACACACAGCTTCACCAAAATTAGTTATTGCCTCGAGTCTTTCCTTGATATAATAGTAAAGTAAGCTAAAACAAGGATATCAAGCTATGTAACATGACAAAAAAATATAGAACTGGACATGAATGACAACATAAAATGTTATGACTTAAAAAGAAAACCTAGCTAAAGAATCGATTTGAGGAAGATGGCAAAGAAATCTAGTCATTCACAACAAAAACTATATAATTGTACAATAAAAGATGAATGTTTGGTTCAAGAAAACACTGCTGAGAAACCAAAAAAGTGGCCAAGATAAGGTTTTATTAGTAGGACAATTAGCAGCCTGTTCCCTTTCTTGAGCCCCTACATAGTATCCTGGCACAGAATATTTACAATGATCCCATGTTAGCCATTCTTTACATTAGCTTTTATTAGAAAGGGCAACATTGGATAACAAGAATAGTCCATTGGTCTGGTTACAGATGACCAATTGAAGTTAAATCCTCTGTTGCATTCACTCAGATTCAGGTATGTGCTTGATTTGTCCACTTGGATCTGCCTAATTCCCCAGTCCAAGGACACTGGTATACATCCAAATGTTTTTATTTCTCACTATTCTTCTTGCATTTCTAAGACCAAATCAGGCTTCATGTAATATAGACCATCAAGCAATGGGCAAATCACACACTTTAAAGCAACCATGTTAGAAAAGTAATTCCCACAAATGATTGCTAGATGCATGACCAAATAGACATGTGCCTTTACCCAAGTATCATGTATCTAACTTGGGTATTTCACACAGATTAGAAAAGTCCATGTAAAATATGTTCAATCTGAACCAGACTTAACAGGAGAGCACTTATGAAATGCACATTTCATTCTTTAGATGAGAGAAATTTTCAAGGGAAATGAAAGACATGTTAAGCAACAAACAGAGCACATATAAGCCATGAGAAAGGCATACCTTCTATGAGATTCCATTTCCAAACCGAATGTGTGACTCACAACCATTCGCAGTACCCGCAGAGATCTATACATAATAACATCCTGTACAAAAAAAAAATTATTATTTTAAATTTCAATTTTTTCAAGATTATAAATTTCTTCTAATTTTGAAGTCAGTTGATTTGAATCAGAAAAACAAGCTCACTACAGATATTTTACATTAAAAAAATAAAAAAAATAAAAGTTAGAACCTATATAGCACAGAAGATTAAGATTGAACCACATTGCTCACAAAATAATATTTTATAACAAAGCAACATTACTAATTCCATACATGTGGCTGTTGGATAGGATATGCCTCACCTCATATGTGTTTGTATGTGTTTTAACATATGTAAATATGGATATATGCATGTTTGGTTTGTACATAACAAGTTTATGCCCATACATGACAAACACACACTTCCTAAACTTTAAGTTTCCATGATTCAAGCTAAACCAAATAAGTTATCATAAAAATAATGCTAAAGTTAAAAGATTCACAAAAAAACTCATTTTTTCGGAAATCAACCGTAGATTTAATTTCCGAGTTGAGACTACTCCAACCAACCTTAATCACCAACTGCTTCAAACTATAATGGTCAGTGCCCTCTGAAAATGTGGCTGTACAAGTAATTCCTTAAGAAGAAGAGGATCCAATCCATCATCTGATCTCCCCAAGTCAATTCTATGGAATTACTTGCTGTTCAAGAACCAGCAGTTCTTACTTCTGTGGTTATACATTATCTTAAAATTTTGCTAAACTCGTGTCACTTGCTGGACACAAAGTCTTACCAGCCAAGGACGAACATGCATATAAACTAAGCCAACACCTTGTTGCTCCAAAATAAAGTAGTACTTTTTAAACAATATACTGGTGGAAGTTTGTTAAACAACTGAATTCAGACCTATAGTAAACCCAAAAAACTCAGTTTTTGTAACTCACATTTTCAAGACTGCAAAGATCAACTAAAGCTTCAAACAAAGCATCCAACTTTACCATCCCAGAGTCAATCTGCAATGAAATAAGAAGCAATCAAACACAAGAAGGAAGATCAGAGAACTATGATGCATGTCCACGTAGGCAAAAGGGTACTAACACCACAATCGAATATGGTTAACTATACAGTGACACGACTTCCGCAAGCCTGAATTTGATAAAGGAATGAGTGGCTATCTATTTAATCAGATACATAGGCCCTGTTTGGTATGGCTTATTTCCAGCTTATTTAAGCTTTTAGCTTAATTTAAGCTATTTTGATGTGTTTGGTTCAGCTTAACAATACAGCTTATAGCTTTTTGTAAGTCAAAAATCAACTTATTCTTTGAGTGGGGGAGGAGAAGCTTAATTTATAAGTCAAAAATCAGCTTATGTTCACAGCTATAAGCTCTAAGCTATAAGTTGTTAGGCTATAAGTTATAATCACTTCCCACAACTCTACCAAATGGCGCTATAATTGCGAGACTGGAGGCATGTATCTAACTCCAGGACAAGAAAGTCAATCACTCTGCTTCAACAACATTTTACATAAGAAGCTGCACTCGCAAATAAATTTAAAAAGGCACTTAATATCTACCAAACACCATAGGTTACTTCATGCAAGAAATGAATCTCAACATAGAACAATATTAAAAAATGTAGGAGGTCCAAAAATATTAGGGTTTGTATCACTGGAGAGGCAAGTAATGTGAACAATAAACTAGAGATGATGAGAATTGAGTCACTGGGTGAGAGTACGGCAAGTGAATTAGGAAAGAATTGTGGTAGTAATCGAAGTGGTAGGGTCTCCCCTTTCCCAAAATTGCTCTCTCGAGCTGTGGAAAATGTGTTGTATTTATAGGGGTTTCCTTGACTCACAAGTGACCAAGTAACCAAAAGGGTAATGCCACGTGTCTATGGGGATCACGTGGAATATTACTTTCCCTAACCACCAGGCTATGAAGTACGAGTACTAGTACTAGTACTAGTACGATATGGGTACGTCGATACGGTAAAACCCAAAAAAAGTAGGGTACGGGTACAGGTACGGCTTGGTACGCTTGTAAAAAAATATTTATTTTTTAATTTATACTAATGCAAAAATTAATTAAATGGTTTAATTTGTTAAGATTCAACTTACAATTAACATTTAATGCCAAAAGTAAAAGTATAAATCAAAATTAAATGTCAATATATTTTACAAACCATAGTTTAATTTTAAAAACATGCTAAGCATAAAACTAAAAATAAAAAAGAAATCGAGTAAAAAGAGTTTTATCTCTATAGTAGAAGAAAATATTGTTTCTATTGAGGTAGGGTACGGCTTAAATATATAGTAGGTACGTCTAGGTACATCAAAAATTAGGAAGAAAAAAATTTAGGTACGTGTTTCGTGTACCCGGTAAGTACCATATGAGGTACCATACACCGGTAAGTACCCGGTACGGGTACGGCATCTGCATGTTTTTCGAAGTACCCATGCTTCATAGCCGCCAGGCCTCGGTGGGTACGTGCTTCCCTCAGTCTTTCCATTTCAAGACCTCATAAGTGGAAGCTAGGTGGCTAGAAAGCAACTCACAATACAAAGTCTCAATGAAATGCCATAATAATGAATTGGAAATGGGATTGTAATAATGTTCACTGTAAAATCTTTGTGTGACAGCTGGTTTCACATGAAAGATAATGTTTGCTCAAAATAAGATGTTTGAAGATCTCCTATGCCGTTGGCTTTTTTGTAAATTGCAGCCTAAGTGCTTTTAGGTGGCCCTTTTCATCAACGAGAATCAGATGATTCCAAACAAATGTATCAAGCATAAGATGCATGAGAAATTGATTGACCAAATTTTTTATTTCCTACAAGGACGGTAATTTCAAGCTACTTCCTTTTTAAACACTATTGTAAGCGGGAGCCTTGTGCATTGGGAATGACCTTTTCCACTTTTCATTTTTATTAGGAAACAAAAGCATTTCAAGACAGTGGTTAAAACTCACTCACTACTAACCTTGAGGTTGTGGGTAGGACCTTGAGGGTAAACATTCTGTGCAAATAATGCCAAAGGTTAGGTATGCACCAATCTACCCCTCTTAGACCCCCATCAAATCGGGAATAAATTGGGCATACTCTAAACAAAAGCATTTCAATAAATAAACAAATAAAAAAAATAGCAGCGATCCATTAGAAGGAAAAGCAGTCCCAATGTACAAAGTGAGGGCACAACTCGATCTACATGTAATCAAGAGCACAAACCAAAATTTGGACTTCATTGTCTCATCAAAACAGAATCTGACCCCATTTTGGATAACAAACAATGCATTAGGCCTATTTAAAGAGGCACTCATTGCTGCCATGATGTATTTTGAAGAAGTGTCATAGAAGAACATATGCATACTTGAATTGTAGGCCCCAATTTCTAGGACGAGTGAAGATCAATTGGAAATGTAATTACTATGTGGATCCTTGCTAGAGTTGTAGCACAAGTTGTAGGTTTAACACTTCGTTTATCTTGATTTGTCATGCCTATACAAAGCTCAGCCTTCTCCTCCACCAATGGAGCTTTCATATGTCATCATACAAAAATTAACTGATATGTACCAATCTATGCCCATAAAACTTTATACAAATTGCAACTCAACCACAAGCAAGTTGTTTCATATGTAGTTAATTAATTATGTTGTAGTAATAGAAGACGATTCATGCAATAAAATTATCATGAGTTATAGATATAATGACAAAAGCTTGATATTTAATAGTTGAAATTTGGTTGATGTGCTAAAGATGGTAACATACTTTTACCAAAAAAGGAAGGCAACACAGTCTGCAGCAATATCTTATGTTAAATGTAATAGCATGCTGAAATAGATACCTTTGTTAACATAGAGTACAGATGAGATACTTTCTCTGCTTCAGCAGACAAAGTAGGTGGCTTGTGGTCCTGCAAACTCACATCAGAAGATCTTGCATCTGCTAGAGAGTTCAGCGTTCCTTTGGAAGATAAGTTAAAACAACCAAAAAGGACATGAAAATCTGTTTCACAAGCCACCAACAACTTTGAAACCAGATTTCTTGGTGATCCTTGGCCACTTGATGATTCCCAAACAGACAACAACTTGTTTTGACGACATTGAGAAGTTGACAAATCATTTTTATTTGATAAAATGGTAGATTCCCCAGACTTGTCCGTCTGAACTCCTATTGCTTTACAAGTTGAAGTAACTAGCACACCAAAAGCAAAGGGCAAGGATGTCAGAAGAACTGAAAAAGAGAAACACAAGAAAACTGGAAAATCAGTAATTTCAGCATTTTAGCAAATATTGAACTGAATGCCCACCTACATTAATCCGAGAGCCAACGTGATCATTTGAAGAGTCACCATTTCGAAATCCTAAAGAAATTCCAGGATGGTCACGAGCATGAACTCCATATTCCCTGCCATCATAGCCAGTGTCATGCACAACTTTCCCCACACATGCTATTGATATTTACAAAGTATTACGTATGAGAGCCAAATTGGTGTCTGGATTCTGGTGATGAGAACAGACGCATAGCGCTAGATAATAAGAATCACATAGCATAGTTGGCCTTAAGGCTGCCAATAAACCAACCTAGTTCTTATGATTCTAGGCATGACTCATAATGATCCAAGCCTCATCTTAAATGAGATTAATAAAATGCAAGTCCAAGATGATTTTACCAACAACTTCATGATAATCATTAGAATCTGCATCAGAATCCACACCATTACAGAAAAAAAAAGGTGCTGAGTTCACTAAGTTCTAAAGGATTTGATGAAATAACAAGCACTACACTAATTCAGTAAACAAATTTGACTTATGTAAGAGGAAAAAAATCATTATAACATTACGATATTCAAGGAATATTCCACATAAAAAGTAGGACTGTTTTCAGAGGGATGGCCACTATCAGTAATAGCCTCATGTAGTAGCCCCTTGAGTATGGGGGTGCAACAGCACCAATATGCAACTAAAGTTGATGATTCAGTCTTCAACTAGATTACACTCTTCTCAAAATTTCTACTATTCCCCTCCTAATCTGTAACACAGCTGTAAAAAAGATGGTTCTCTGAAAAATTGAAACCATTAATCCATGATTTTGAAGCCATCTTATATTTAACTCTCTAAATAGCAAGGGAATCACCTAAGCCAGAAAAAAACTATCCGTCTTCACAATGGGTTTCCCAAAACAGCATATATATATATGAAGTAACGTTTCACCGCACCATACGTTTTATTTTTCATTAGATACTCTCCTATAGAGACTCTAAAGCCTGTCTGCTTACCAACCTCTAGGCTCTAGCCATTTTCCCAGCCTCTTGCTTCATGCATAGATACCTGCATTCATTTGTGTCTCCCTACCCCTTAACAAAATCCACACAATATTGAGAAAGCACAAGCCAAGTTCTGGTGAACAAATGATACCCCATAACGGACCAGTTTGCCAATTGACAATGTGTTTTTCAACATATTATTTGTTTGTGTAGATATAACGGGAAAAAATGGATTTATTTTTGTCGTCTGCTTCACTAAACTAAGATCATACTAAGAAAGCATATAAAGACCGATTTTCTAGATGCTTAAAAAGATCATGATTAGAAGTGGTGACCAATCAAATCAATTAAATGGGGGGCCTAAGAAGCATGGACACGGACACGTGACACGACACGAGTACGACACGGACACGTTGACACGTTAATTTTCAAAAAATGTAGGACACGACACGTAAGGGACACGCATGAAATATGTAATTTTATATATTTATTATATGTTATATATATGAATATATCATTCAAAAGATAATAAAAAATACAATATGATACTAATTCATATAAATTTATATAGTTTTTGTTTTATTATTGTATCTTAAGTTGTTTTGTTCAAACTTATAATTAATTTCACATATGTCTAATCATTAGACACTTGTATTTAAGCGATGGACACGTATGTCCTTCAAGTGTCCAAAGAGAGTCCAAGTCTTTAAAAAAATTTTAAAAATAGGACACGTTTTGAAGAGTGTCGGACACGTGTCCCGAGAGTGTCCAAAGAGTATCGGTGTCCGACACGGATACGACACGAATACGTCACCTTCTTAGAAGTGTCCGTGCTTCTTAGTGGGGGGCCATGTGTCAAATACTTTATAAAACCACATGCAACAAAAACTACATGAACATTATAATTGAATAGTAATAAGATGCCTACGGGCACACCTCACACTAGGGTTGTACAGATAACCGATTCATCTGAAAAACCCAACTCACACCGACCGAACAGAGCTTGCTACAATTTCGAAATTTCAACGGTCGAAAGCAGGCATTATTCTGCAAATCTGTTCATTTTCGGTCGAGTGACAAGTGTGCCAAAGGAAATTTTTCAAAACCAACCGAACTGATGTATATATCTAATGTTAAGTATGCCACGTCACAGTTCCACCGATTATATAATTATATTCATCTTTTCCAAGACAGCCTTATCACCTCACCTCACCTCACCTCACCTCTTTCTACTCAAACGCTCGTCTCTCTCCCTTTCAGTCTCTCTCATCTCTCTCATGGTCTCACCTTTCACCCTCTCATCTACCTCTCAAAGTTCTCTCTCATGCTCTCACTCTCTGATCTCCCTTCCCATAAACCCTTTTGCCTTTTTAAACTCCCACTCTTCGTGGCGATTGTGTGAAATTTGTAATCGATGGTGACAATGGTGCTATTCAACGTTGATGGTGATGATGATGATGAAAATGCTTTGATCTGCTCAGATTTGTGATGAAGGTGACGACAATGCTCAAATCTATGTTTAGATACATTTTTATTCAAATCTATATATTGTTCTCTCTCTCTCTCTCTCTCTCTCTCTCTCTCTCTCTTAATCTCAATTCTTCTCTTAAATAAATCTATGTGAAGATTTATAGGAATATGTATGGATCTATTTGTGTTTTTTCCTATGTTTCTCTCAAATCTGAACATCTTTATAGTTTTCTTTGTTTTATTTTTCTTTTTCTCAAACTCTTCTCCCAAATCCATCCAACTTTGGGTTTGAAGAAAGAGAGCAAAGCTCATTGTTTTTGGCCAAACGGTTCCAACCGAAATCCAACTGGCCGTGTCGGTTTCAAATAGTACAGTTTCGACTACTAGTACGGTCGAAATCGGTTAATGAAATTTTCTACCCGACAAAATTGGTTCGAGTGACGGGCTAGTACCAAATCCGGTCCGACTTGATCTGTGTACAGCCCTACCTCACACCACCACAGAGAGAGAGAGAGAGAGAGAGAGAGAGCAACTAAGAAGCACAAACGCTTTTAAGAAGGTTTTGTGTCTATGTCAGACAAGACACTCATTGAACTCTTCCCCAATTTGTCGGACACACGTCCAAACATGTCCTATTATTTTTATTTAATTTATTTAGACCCAGACACACTTCAAATACTTAGAAGACACGTGTATGTATATCTCATAGACACATATGAAACACATACAAGTTTGAATAAAATAACTTAGGGTCCAATAATAAAAGAAAATTAACGTAAATTTATACACATTAAATTATTAATTCCTCCACCTTTAGTTTTCGGAAATTAATGTAATGTTTCACTTTTTAATAAAATACTCAAATATACGTCATATAATAAATATATAAAGTTAAATACGTTGTGCATGTCACTCATGTGTCATGTTCTTCATTGTTTTAGAAATTGTTGTGCCAGTTTATCCGTGGTGTGTTGTTAAGGGTGGGAATTTTCAAATCATCACAAACCTAGCACGAAGTTACAGGGTTATGGTTAGCTAGTTCTCAACACGAACCCAAAAGAAACATGACAACCTAACAAAAAACTAAACAAGTTGGATTAGTGTGAAACACATGTTACCCAAAGTTGACACGGATAATCCATTTAATAAAGAATTAGTTACACATTTTAAAGTAATTTTCAGTAAGGGGTGTCATGACATGTTTGAATCCCATATGTAACCCCATCCAGCTAAATAAAAAAAAATATGTAAAATAGGATTTTGGGGTCAATACAGTCTTTTGGTTTCTCATGTAAGATAATTTGATCTTTTTGTTTACTACTTTCGAGTGAATCTAATAAAAGAAAAAAAAAATTACATAAATAACTTTCCTCATGGCTATCCAAAGCATTAAGTATGCTTTTAAAGTGGCATGAGATTAGAAAAACTAGAAGGCTAGGCAACCTAAAGCAAAATAAATTCTACATACAAGTTTTTGCTCTTTCTGCGCTGAACCTCAACATCTTTTTCTTCAACTTGCGAAAATATAGAATTAAGCTGCTCCTCTTTCTTGTCTCTTTCCTTGCGAAGCTGTAAGCAATCTTGTTCCTGGAAGTGTGAAATAATTTATCATTGCAAACAGAACCACTGAGGTACAGGACTAGTTTTGAATAAAGAAATAAATTTTAGTTTTTTCCATATCAATTGAAAATTATAATTATAACCAATACATGTCATGTTTGTACATAAATATGATCCTCTTAGAAAAAACTGTCATGGAAATTACCACACGAGAAGAAACATATTTCAAGGAACAATACAGCATTGTACATAAAACATGTTTTGCAGTAATCCAATAAGATATAATAGGTCATCCAGGTAGCCATGATTATGTACAAGCTCCTAACTGAACTTAAAATCAAGTGCCTACTTATTTACAATAAATATTTTATTACAAAGGAAACAAGAAGTGCCACCCATATACACTACAGAAACACTAAACAAAACACTTAAAGCTCTTGTACATTAATCTTTACTCAAAAGTCTCTACAAGGTCCAACAATTGGTTCAAGGATAGATCAACAATACCCAATAACCAACTATGCAAAAGGGATAAAATTCTGCTTCTCAATTTAGAAAGTGGTTCCTCCTTTCCATAAAAAATCCTCCGGTTGCGCTCCCTCCAAATAGTTGACATCAAGCACGACTACACAAGGCACCATAAACTAAGCATTTCCTTTAAATAAAGGAATCCTCTAAATCATGTACCACAATAAAGGAATCCTCTAAGTGGGACAAATATGATATGAATGCACTCGTCGAACTAATCTACATAAATCTTTTTTCATCATTCTACTCTGTCAAAGATTATATGCTCAGTTAAATTTAAAAAAACCACATCCTTTCTTACTACTACCACATACCATGTCAATTCAGTTCTTCCCCTCCCTCTAACATTTCCATTTACAGTGATTAAATTACTCTTCCTAACTGTCGCGTCTACATGTTTTCGTTGTCAATGACCAAACCATCTAACATTAGGGATCAGTAAAGCTAATAACATAACTTTGCTTTATGCTTCCAAAGAGGATATTTTTAGGTATTCAAGCAATAACTACCACATCAAGAACTTTCTTTGCCATTCTATGCACTTAATCAAATGATTCTTCTACAGTTGTTGGAATAAAATAATCAATATCGATATGGTACGGTCATCTCACATTATCCTATCTAGCATAGTAGCATGTTATCTGAACTGGTAGGGATCAAATCTAAGGTTGATGGCAAAGTTTCTATCATATGAAGTCACAATTCTAACGTCACAGGTTGTAATTATACGCAGAAATCATGTATAAGTCCCCATAACACTTCAAGTTGCATCACCAAAAAAAGGGTTAGTTTAACAGATTTCTTTTAATCCTATTATTATAACAAGTACCATCTAAGTCATACGCCCATTAACTGTTCATTTATTTCTTGTATTTAACATGTGTAAGTGAAGAACTCCATCCCCCATGTCATCATGTAGAAGGAAGTCACCGTAACAGTTGTGGTGGCAGTGTAAAAGCCGTAGCATAACAGTTGTAATAATCGGAACTGTAAATTTTTTTATTTTTCGGACAATTTGAAAGGAAAAAAAACTTCTTGACATGCTTATTTTTATTTTAGAATCCCATTTATTGGAGTTTAAAATAGAATTTTATCAATATTTGTTAGTTTTTAAATATGATCCAATATATTTCATATTTTTAAATCACTGTAAATGACTTTTTACATTTTATTTCAATAGTTAATGATTTTATATGTCATAAATTCATATTGCACCTCTTCTTTTTATTTATTTTGTTATTACTTGTTATATAATATAGAGTTCATGACTTATAATATTGTGTAAGTTTTTTATTTTTTCTATTTTTGAAAAGAATCTATACATAATGTGTAACAGTGTAATAGCCCATTAAGGCCGTTACGTAGCACTGCAATGGCCATTATACACGTGAATTTCCGTCACACCACAAAAACAAGTATTAACAGTTAGCGTCTACCGCCGCAACCCTTACGTAATACCGCTTTTTAAAACCTTACTGATAACAATTACAAATCCACAGGTTGCAATTATAAATCAAGTAAAGATATGTCAAATACCTTCACTAAGTGACAACTGCACACTCCTCATGAATATCACCTACATCACATATGCATGAATCTATCTTTGATGATTTGATCAACTAAAATACCCTTTAATTTAAGGAAGAGATATAAAGCAATTACATCATAAAGGAAGGATTAGTCTAAGGCCATGTTTGATTACCATGAAGATAAATCACAGGATTGGATTAGCAATCCGATGGACCCCACACAAATCATGTTTTGTTGCTATAAAAATAAAATAAAATAAAAAATACATGGTATTGTTAATAGCAAAAGGAGAATTATGATTACCAAGGGGTGGTATTCACAATCCAATTCGATCAGATTAGATGACTAAAAATAATTTTGCCCCTACGGTACAAAAACAACAAAGTCACATTTTATGTAGCGAGGATTATTATGAAGTTTAGGGTTTAATAGATTTAATCTCAAACAACTCGTGCAAAACAAATATCAACAATTAATATTCCATCTCCAACCTAATAATACCATATGGGATTCACAATCCTACATGTTTTCCAAAAAGTATAACTAAGAAAGGGTACGGTGATCAAAGCACAAAATGTCAAGAAAAGGTGGATCATAACAACAATTTATAGAGAAACTACAAACAAATCTGTGTTTCTTTGCATGTACATATAAACATACCAGGTGGGTAAGCTGTTTGGAAACACGACCGAGCTCAATCTGAAAACACAGTTCATGACAACACTCAAATTAGAGGCATTCTAAAATCATTCATTCAAAATCAAAAAAATAAAAAATAAAACCCTAACCTTCAATCTCTCGATTTCTTCTTCTTTCGGGTTACGAGACGAAACCGAAGCGACGACGATGCGACCAATGGCAATGGAAGACTGATCGAAATCATTCGTCTTACTACCACCACCTCTGATCCTCTGAGACAACTCCCGGGGAGGCGAATAGCTGATATCGTCGTACGGCGGCGCAGGCGGTGGTGGAAAATGGGAAGACGGTGGTGGTGGTTGGGGGTGGTGGAGTTGGGTAGGGTTTGATAAGGACAAGGCTTGTTCTTCGACTTGGATGAGTTGGAACACGAAATCTGCGTCCCAATCATCGAAACCCTCGTCGCTCATTGGATTCGAGAGAATCGCGTGTACCAATGTATTAGGAAATTTTGATTCAAAGTGAGATGTGAATTAGTTTCGCTTGGATTCTTGAAAGGGCCGGTTTGTGAGGTTCTTCAAGTTTGAAGAGGAGGTGTTTGAGAAAATGTGTTGGAGAGTGTAAGCGAGGAGTGGGAGATTGTTTCGAGTCTTCGTTTGTAAAGAACCTTTTTAGCTTCTTTTTCTTTTTCTTTTTTTAAATATGATTAAAAAAAATTAGTGATGAATTTTGATTTATTTTATAATTTTTAAGAAAAAAATAAAATTATTATAATTTTAATATAATATAATATTTTATTTTTTTAATTTTTTAATTTTTTTTATCTTTTAATAAACTAATAATCTTGACTGTCATACTAAAAAGCGAAGGCTGATGTCCACTCGCACCAACATTTTTTTCTTTTTATCATTTTTTAAAATACTTAAAAAAGTAAAAGAATAATCGAATAAGTTAATATTAAAAAATATTTTAATTTTTATAGTAATGAGTTTAAATAGAAATATTTTTTCATAAATTCCTTTTAATTTACTTATATTCCATTTAATGCATATTATTTTTTTATATTCTAATAAATTTTATGAGTGACATAGTTACCAAAATATTCCTAATAATATTCACATTTACAGTGTTAATATTTCGTTGTGTGAATGTTCACATCTTCAATGTGTATCTTAACATGTCAATGTGAACATTCACACGACAATATGGATATTCACATTATAAAATATAAATGTTCACATTATCAAATTACAACCGTTCAAAAAAATATTTGTAAAGGTATAAATATCCATAAAATACCTTAAATAAGAGAATTAGAATTTGTTAGATCAACTGTTCAAATAATATAATTATTAGAATATAAGATTATCTTATGGACTAATTGGGATACAAACACTTGAAAATTAATTTTCTAATAAATTTTTCGTTTACATAATTTAAATATGTTTTTTTTTAAATTATTTTTAATAGGTTTAACAATCACTTTAAATAAAAATAAATAATGTTTCTTTTTATTTAGGCCAAGTTTGGAAAGTCCATAAAAAGTCAAAAAGTCAAAAAGTTTCTCAAAAAGTTAAAAAGTTAATACTATTCACCAAAAGTCAACAATTACGGGTGCACAACTCACAATCCTAATTTTTCCCTGCACACTAATTTATATAATTTTTTAATACATATTTTTTCATAAAAAGTCAAAAAGTTAACCCAAAATCCATATTTTTAGGGCTGAGCAAGGAATCCGTGAAATCCGCAATCCGATCTAGTCCAGTCCAATCCAATAGGTTTGGATTGATTTTTTGAATCCGTGGTTCGGTTCCGAATTGAAGAATTAAAAATCCGTAGTCCACGGATTGGTTTCGGATTGAACCCCACGGTTCTGGATTGGAACCGATCCGGACCGTATACAAATAGTCTATATTTTTATTATACATCCTCCCCCATAATATCTTCTCTTATTCCATATAAAACCTAAACTCAAACCTAAACTCGCATAATATATTCTTTTATTACTTTTGTTTGTTAGTTTTTAATTTTAATTTGTAATGGTCTAAATATTTATGGTGAAACTAATTTTTTTATGGTTGTTTAAATTCTAGAACAGTATGTCGCTATTATAGAAAGACATGTTGCTATTATTGAACTAATATAGCGCTATGTTTATGTTTTTATGAAATTAAAGTGTTATATATATATTTTTTTGTTATTTAATTATGTGAATCCGTAGTCATAAACTGATCCAATCAGTGTTTAAATAGGTTGGTTCGGATTGATTCCATGATTTAAACGGATTGGATTGATTTCAATTTTTCAGGAACCGTAAATAACGAATTGGTCCTGGTTTTACCCCAATCTAGTCCAATCCGGACCATGCTCACCCCTACATATTTTTGTCCTCAATTTTTTAGTCTAAAAAGACAAAAATTGCACTTATTTAGGACACCCCAAACAACTCCTTAATTTTAACAAAAGTCACTTTTTAATTTTCAATGCCAAAAATATATTATCTTTTTCATTTGATTCGTTTAATTGACTATTGAGGTAAAAGTAAATAAAAATAAGGGGATTTTTTTTTTAAGGTCCCTATTATTAAGATTTAATAGCATAGAGGACACCTAATATTTTCATAATATCTAAGGTCCCTCAACATCGATCTAAAAAAAACTCGACCCAGAGAATTTATCTAGACTTCCTAGAGATTTTCTCTCCAGATAAATTCTTTATCTGCACTTCCTACAGAATTTCTCTGGACCTTCCAGAGATTTTCTCTCCGAATTTCTCTAGACTTCCCAGAGAATTTCTCAGATAATTCTGTGTTTTTGACCAATTTTCTCTGGTTTGCTCATAATTTTCTTTGTGTTTTTTATCAAACCAGAGAAAATTGAACAACTACCATTTTTCATTTTGACCAATTTTTTCTGGATGGTAAGGCATTCAGACAACAACAAACTAGAGAAATTTGAGTAACTACCGTTTTCATTTTGACCAATTTTCTCTGGACAGTAAGACATTCAAACAATAACAAACTAGAGAAAATTGAACAAATACCATTTTCATTTTGACCAATTTTCTCTGGACTATAAGATATTCAAAACACCAAAAGCAATGGATATCACAACACAACACTTAACCAAACTAGTAAATTTCACCAACAATGGTATGAAGTTCACGGCTTTCTTTCTAATGATGATCATATTGTAAATGTTACTCACAAAAAAACTTGAAAGCCTCATAAAATTCAACAAGCTTGAATTCTTTGGGAAGTCCATAAATTCTTTAGGTTCAAATCAAAGAAAATTCAAAAGTATTCAATTTTCTCTTAATTTCTCTTGTATTTGTTTGGTGGAGCTTTCAAAATATAATTCCACACTCACTTTTTGAGTTTGGTGTTTGTTTAGCGTTTTCAAAAATTAATTTCGTACTCACTTTTGAAAACTCTTTCCAATATGGGAAAAATTTGGGCTAACCGGTCGTCTGGCCAGTTGACCGGAACAATGTTCATTTTATTTTTTTTTTCACTTGTTTTTTTATATTATAAAAAAAATATTTGCGAATTTTTTAATTTTTTTTTTATAAGCTTTGAATAGAATTTTATATTGTGTTTTTGGTTATGAGTTGTAAGTTTTTGTATCAAATATCTTATGTCACATCACTCAATTCAAACTCAATTTAAAACTCTTTTCAAAACTCATAACCCTCAAATCATAACTCCAAAACTCACAAACTCAAAAAAAAATTATATTCTCAAATCATAATTCTAAAACTCTACCAAAGACTACCTCAATTTCTCTGGGTAATTTTCTATGTGTTGTTAAATTTTCTCTGGTTTGAACTCAAAGAAATTTGAATTTTTTATAGTTTGAATAAGAAAAATTATTGATGTCTACAAGTCAGTCTACATTTCAAAAGATTAAAATGCAGAAAAAGGACTCCATAGATAGCTACATTGAAGAAAAACTTCAATTTTTAAAATTAAAATAGAAGATAATAAAGAGATAATGGAAGAGAAATTCTTTCCAGACTCACATACCAGCAAACTGTGTTGACCTTAACATCTTCACCAAACTCACATACTAACAAAGGTTTTTCTTCAAACTCACATTGGTGTTGAACATTTTCTTCAAAGGGTTTTCAAACCCACATAACGGCGTTGGCAAGGAAGCTTCAGTCCCGATCTTCTAGATAAGAGCGTTGAATGAAATCGTTGATTTGGGGGTTCTGAAATTGTCCATTTGATTGAAGGTTTCGAATCGAATATTCTGACAATGCCATAGGATCGAATGAGGCTAGAGAGGCAAGGTTCTTGGGTGATTTTGGGGTCGTTTTGTGGGATTCGAGGAGGGTTTTGATGTCGGTTAAACGACAAAACTTTGCGAGGCGCTTGACAGTAAGATCTTACGAGTTGATACTTTGACGGTTTGAATTATCAAAACGGAACCCTTAATGGCCCCCACAGACCGACTATCACTGCTCAAACACTTTGCCTCCGAAGGAGGCAATTATTTTCTGTGCAAACATGCTTCGGGCAGCCGCAGGGCTGCAGTACGACCAATCAAATTTCTTCTCCTATACACTTTATTTATACAATTTTTTATTACACATTTTGTCATAAAAAGATAAAAAGTTAACTCAAACATCCATATTTTTTTCTCAATTTTTTAATTCAAAAAAACAAAAATTACACTTATTTAGGACACCCCAAACAACCCCTTAATTTTAACAAAAGTCACTTTTTAATTTTCAATGCCAAAAATATATTATCTTTTTCATTTGATTCGTTTAATTGACTATTGAGGTAAAAGTAAATAAAAATAAGGGAATTTTTTTTTAAGGTCCCTATTATTAAGATTTAATAGCATAGAGGACACCTAATATTTTCATAATATCTGAGGTCCCTCAACATCGATCTAAAGAAAACTCGACCCAAAGAATTTATCTGGACTTCCTAGAGATTTTCTCTCCAGATAAATTCTTTCTCTGCACTTCCTACAGAATTTCTCTGGACCTTCCAGAGATTTTCTCTCCGAATTTCTCTAGACTTCCCAGAGAATTTCTCAGATAATTCTGTGTTTTTGACCAATTTTCTCTGGTTTGCTCATAATTTTCTTTGTGTTTTTTATCAAACCAGAGAAAATTGAACAACTACCATTTTTTCATTTTGACCAATTTTCTCTGGACAGTAAGACATTCAAACAATAACAAACTAGAGAAAATTGAACAAATACCATTTTCATTTTGACCAATTTTCTCTGGACAGTAAGACATTCAAACAATAACAAACTAGAGAAAATTGAACAAATACCGTTTTCATTTTGACCAATTTTCTCTGGACAGTAAGACATTCAAACAATAACAAACTAGAGAAAATTGAACAAATACCATTTTCATTTTGATCAATTTTCTCTGGACTATAAGATATTCAAAACACCAAAAACAATGGATATCACAACACAACACTTAACCAAACTAGTAAATTTCACCAACAATGGTATGAAGTTCACGTCTTTCTTTCTAATGATGATCATATTGTAAATGTTACTCACAAAAAAACTTGAAAGCCTCGTAAAATTCAACAAGCTTGAATTCTTTGGGAAGTCCATAAATTCTTTAGGTTCAAATCAAAGAAAATTCAAAAGTATTCAATTTTCTCTGATTTCTCGTCTTTGTTTGGTGGAGCTTTCAAAATATAATTCCACACTCACTTTTTGAGTTTGGTGTTTGTTTAGCATTTTCAAAAATTAATTTCACACTCACTTTTGAAAATTCTTTCCAATATGGGAAAATTTTTGGCCAACCGGTCGTCTAGCCAGTTGATCGAAACAATGTTCATTTTATTTTATTTTTTCACTTTTTTTTTATATTATAAAAAAAATATTTGTGAATTTTTAAAATTTTTTTTATAAGCTTTGAATAGAATTTTATATTGTGTTTTTGGTTATGAGTTGTAAGTTTTTGTATCAAATATCATATGCCACATCACTCAATTCAAACTCAATTTAAACTCTTTTCAAAACTCATAACCAAACAAAATTTCCACACTTAAATCATAACTCCAAAGCTCACAAACTCAAAAAAAAATTCTATTCTCAAATCATAATTCTAAAACTCTACCAAAGACTACCTCAATTTCTCTGGGTAATTTTCTATGTGTTGTTGAATTTTCTCTGATTTGAACTCAAAGAAATTTGAATTTTCTCTAGTTTGAATAAGAAAAATTATTAATGTCTACAAGTCAGTCTACATTTCAAGAGATTAAAATGCAGAAAAAGGACTCCATAGATAGCTACATTGAAGAAAAACTTCAATTTTCGAAATTAAAATAGAAGATAATAAAGAGATAATGGAAGAGAAATTCTTTACAGACTCACATACCAGCAAACTGTGTTGACCTTAACATCTTCACCAAACTCACATACTAACAAAGGTTTTTCTTCAAACTCACATTTGTGTTGAACATTTTCTTCAAAGGGTTTTCAAACCCACATAACGGTGTTGGCAAGGAAGCTTCAGTCCCGATCTTCTAGATAAGAGTGTTGAATGAGATCGTTGATCTGGGGGTTCCGAAATTGTCCATTTGATTGAAGGTTTCGAATCGAATATTCTGACGATGCCATAGGATCGAATGAGGCTAGAGAGGTAAGGTTCTTGGGTGATTTTGGGGTCATTTTGTGGGATTCGAGGAGGGTTTTGATGTCGGTTAAACGACAAAACTTTGCAAGGCGCTTGACAGTAAGATCTTGGGCATAGTGAAGGTAGGCTGGAGAGGAGGTTGTGTAGTGATCGGAAAGGGAGGAGTTTAGAGAAAGAGAGAGAGAGAAAAAAAAATTGAGATTTGATTTGAGAGAGTCAAATTTCTCTATGATATATGGGTGAGAGAGTTGAGGGACCTTAGACATTATAAAATAATATTGTGAATCTTTTTTATTACTAAACATGGAAGAGGGATCTTAAATTAATTTTCTTTAAAAATAACATGATACACCATATGTGAAAAGTGCAAAAAATATATATATATATATATGTTTGTATTAAAATAAATTAAAAAATTACTGTTCATGTCCTAGTTTAGAATGATATAAAAAAAGTGTAAAAAATTCAAAATCAGAAAAGACAAAAAAAAAAAAAAAACTACTAATAATTTAAACATATATGTTTAAAACAAAAAATAAATGAAATATAACAATATTTTTAAATTTAAAAATACAATTTTAAAAAGCTTGCCATATTAGGCATTCGCATTTGGAAGGAATATAATTTAAAATGTGGAAAAGATTTATTTATTTGCTAATAATATTAGAAAAGACGAAAAAAAGTGAAATGACGTTTTAACATGTGTAATTTTACAATTTAAAAAATAGAAAATGAAAAATGACTTAGACCCCCAGCTGGGGGTGCTGGTGTCGTCCCTGATTGGTGGGAATTATTATTATTTTTTTTTAAATTTCGACCAACCACACGCTGCCACGTCACTGAGGTGGTACTGGGGGTCGTCCGTACTGGGAGTCTGTAGCATTTCCGAATATAAAATTTGAGAAAAATGGATTAGAATTTTCAACATCAATCACCTCACAATGTTTTGCAATTTATAATAGTATAGAAGTATAGATTCACGAAATTAAACATTTGAAACATCTGTCGATGTACATTCTATGGTGTGCCTTGCATTAATACATTTGGAAAAACATATTTTCAAGCAACTTATTGAAAAAGGGACAAACAAGAAAAGAAATTGGGAAGATGGGAAACAAAAAACAAAAACTTGTGAACTTTATACAACAAGATTCGAATTATGCACCGTCAACACTTGATGCATTGCATTCTTCAAGCAGTTTAAGAATGTTATGCTCGGGTGCACTGACAGATGGTAGAATCATGCGGTTGGATTGGGGTCGCGGTCTTGTTCCCACAGTCTCGGATTCTATTGGGTTGCCCTCCTGCATAACTGGCAAGTCAGCCCTCCTCTGCATGCCTGCAGATACTCTCTCCTTCCATATTCGTCCGTCCTATTGATTGAGAAAATAATATATTATGATTTCATAAAACACCAGATAACAGGAGAGAGAGAGAGAGAGAGAGAGAGAGAGAGAGTTTCAAAATGATAGTATCAAAATTTGGTACAAAGTTCTGTGTGAGCAGCAAATTGTTAGAAGCAATTTTCTAAGAGGGTCACAAAGAATGTTTGAACTCATGTGTCATGTAAGTTCATAACGGGCGATACAAGTCAGCACCTAACATTGTCTTAATGGCAATAATGTATTTGGTAAGTCTTGATTGCAATAATATTGCTGGCAAATCGATTACTATCACAAATAACAACATATGCACATCAACAAAAGAGTCAAAAGTACATCCCACATTCCCTCAAAAGCTTTTTCTTTTTCTTTTTTTTATCCCCACACCCCCTCTTTGCGAGAAATCTCTGGACATCTTACAAAATTTCAGGAATCAGGCCATTCAACCAGTAATTAAAATGACCATCATACCACTAGGAAAGTTCATGATTTTGTAACTAACAATAAAGACTTTGGTTTGGATTTTCAAGATTTAATTTTCACTAATATTTTAATATTACACTTAAAATGTATAATATTTTTATTTTCCATATTTTTTACAAATTTTTTAATATTTTAAGCAATTTTCCATATTTTTTTTATAAGTCTTTTTCATATTTTTTTTTATTTTCACTAATTTTTTAAAATATTTTAAGCAATTTTTTTAATTTTTAGATACACCTAACATAAATACACTTAAAATGTATAATATTTGTAAAAAAAATCTTTAGAAAATTCACTAAATACCAAAAATACAAAAAAAAAAAAACGAAATTCAATACATTTTTTGTATTCTTGTGTATTTAATGATTTTTTAAAATATTTTTTTACAAATATTTTACTTTTTAGATACATCTAAGTAAAGTGCATCTAAAAAAAAAAATTTGCTTAAAATTTTAAAAATATTCACTAAAAACAAATAACTCAATTCTAGAAAATTGAAACCAAATACACTAAATAGAGTTCTCTGAGTTGCAAGTTGGTGATGCAGCTAACAGTATGAAGATAATTGAGATTGAAATTCCAGCTAAAAATATCAGAGTGAAACAAAAGGGAACCAATTTAAGGTACATAGATGCATGGTAACATGTGATGCACCCATGTTGAAGATTAGAAATAAACAGCATTCAGGGTGCGAGCTCATGCACATCAATGGACATGTAACCTAACCCAACAAAAAGAATAGAGGAGAACATGTTGAACACCATTAACTCAAACACAACTGTTTCTTCCTCCACAAAGACTACCAAAGGCATAATGGCACCACCACCAAGAACTCACTCTTTGAGGAGGTGTACCTCCTCCACCCCCAGCGCAACCCCCACCCCCACACAAAAACAAAAAAAACATGCCTCCAAACCATCAACCCTCCATAACCTTCACCATAGACCAAGGCATCACTAAGTGATTGCCAAACAAAGAAAATAAATCAGAAATTCCTCAAACCAAACAATTTATCATCAAGTGATTCAATAACTCCTCAACCCCTTTGCACATACAATGCCAATTAAAAAGATTTTTCCTCTAAGCAGCAAATTGTTGGTAAATGTATCTTCTAGAGGAACAAATTTCTCAACATCTAGATGTTCTCCGTTACATTTTCTTACTTTGTCAATGTATCTTGCAAAAAATCCATATCCCTGAAGTAACCCACCAAGTCTATCCTACCAAGTTACGTAGACAATATTTTCCCTCAAGGTATGAACGAAGTATCATTAAATAATTAAGTAATCGAACCTGTTAAGTCACCAATGCTTCCAAATTTTATAGCAAATAATGTCAAAATTATCCTTTCTTCCACTGCAACTATAGACTAAACTTATCAAATGCACAAGTCAATCCTTTATCAAAATCCTGCTACCAAGATCAACTAAACCACATTAAGAATAGTTCCAATATTTCGTCTCTAATTATCTCTTTCTTATTTTTCTAAGAAAACTTTCAAAAAGTACAACTAGGTTGGAAGTCGGTTTAAGGTTGGACCAAAAAATGGTTAGGGTTTGAGTATGACAAGCCTTACACACTAATAACCAATTTAGCTCATAAGCAGAGAAATGCAGTCAACTATTCCTGACTTGAACATGTAATCATACAGGGGAAATCATATAGCTATTTAACGAGTGCCCTTGGGGCACATGTTAACAAACTTAAAAAATTGTACATTATGCATGAACGTGCTTGCGATAACTTAAAAAATTTACTCACCTAAGTTACAATACATGCCCACAAGTAACCTCACCCCCCAAATGACTTTCCTAAGTGGTAATTTTCTATCATCAACAGCATAAGAGAATTCTTTAGCACCATTTATGTAGCCAAAAGCAAAGGCCAAAACACACAACAACAAAAGTACAGACGCGATGTAAGCAACATATATGTTGTGTCTTCGATGGAATCATCTATAACAAAAACACCCATAAAGGTGTGAATATGTGATTTTAGTAATGAAGGCGACTTTCAGGCTTACATTAAGAATTGAAGGTTCAGGAAGTGGGCACTGAATTGGTTGATCATTGTCGAGAGGCTCAGTTGGGTGTTCAAGTGGCTTAAACTCAATTGCTACTTCAATACCATGAGCAGCAGCTAATGCAGCAGTAGTAACAGTAGCAGCACCTGTAGCCTCTGAATTAGGGGGCATTACTTCCCTATCATCCTGCAGAAAATAAAACAACTAAATAGTGAATAGAAGTAGATACAACAACTCCCCCAAGGGGTTAGCCTAGTGGCAAGTTAAACAGTAATAAACGACTGGGGAAGCATAGGTCATGAGTTCGAATCACATGGAGCACTTGACCCCTTTGGGGCCACCTCCGGGGATCGTGGCCACCAATTACGTTGTATGTTTGGGACGGGTACTTCATGTACCTGAGGAATTAGTTGAGCAAAGCTCCGGATAACCTCATAGATAGACATTTGTGTTTGTGTTTGGGTGCGAGTGTGTACATGTACGAAATAAAAAACAAAGCACCTGAAAGAATAGCAACCAACAAGACATAACATACATGATCAAAACTACATTTTGGATAGAAGTTCATAGAAGAATGGTAACAACAAGACAACAGGCATTGTTGAGCTGAGTTCAAGAACTGGATAATTAATTATTGTTAATTTCATAAACTATCACCATTTTTATATCTCATACCTAAACTATCAATTTCATATTTTAGCCTGAAATTTTTTATTTCAGTTCTTGTAGTCGAAAGACGATTGTACAAATCAGTAACCACTGAAGCCTAATGTAATGATAAAAAAAGATCATTGATTCATTTCAAAATTTAAACAGCTTAACTGGCCTAATTGAACCCAGAATAAAAAGTTTTGAGTAAGAAACTCTCAAATATGTAAGAACAAATCAAATCCACTTTCGGACCCAATGAAAAGATCAAACCAAGCTTTGATATCTCAAAGAAATTCTAGTAAACATGCATAAGTAATTAACTACATATATGTAAATACATACTTTCTCCTATAATGGGTTCAATTAAAATCAACAAATTACCTCACAAAATATACATATACATGTATTACTCTCCACTGACAAAGAAAAACAACTTGAGACACCCAGATCAGTAAACAGAGCAATCAATTGAATATGCATAAACCCAAATAGAAATTCAAAATGTATGTAGAGAGAGAGAGAGAGAAAGAAGCTTACAATTGCACTTTGGGCTCGACGGAGGCTATTTCTGCTGACAGAAAACCTAGAGAAAATACCCACCATTTTTTGGGTTCTCTTCACCACTCCACCAACAAATTCACTCAAAAGGGTTTGCTCTGATCTTGGTTCTGTCCTTTACAATTCACTCTCTTTCTAGGGGGGAGAAGATGATGAGGTAGCTTGGCGTAATGGGTTTTGTTTGGATTCTGTGACTGCAGATTTAAAAAATGCTAGTGGATGCGTACCATATGTATCTGTGTAAATATATTGTCGTCAATAATGTATAGATTTGGGAGCTCTGATGAGTCTTGCTTTGAAAAAAATAAAAAAAGAAAAGAGAAAAGCTATGGAGGAAAGAAAAGGAGGGTTGAGAGAGACAATCAATAAAGAGAGAAGAAGCAGAGAAACCCTATGGGTTAAGGTAGGCACAGAACCATGTGAAGTTGTCTGTAGTGCGCTTTGAGAAGAGGCTCTTTGAAAAAGAAAGATCAGATAGATACGAAAGCAGTATTGCAGTCCACTGAACCCCACTTGCTCTTTTATTTTTATTTTATTTTTTTGAAAATGCATTTTACCCCAGCTGGGGGTGACACCCAGTGAGGTGTCAGCTGGGGATTGGTCCGAAAAAAACAATTTTTTTTTTTTTTTTTTTTTTTTTTTACCAGTGGGGGCGCGCCACGTCACTGGGGATGCGACCCCCACTGGGTGTATGAAGCAAAACCCTTATTTTTTTAATTTTTAAGAATAAATTTTAGATGAAACTAGTAAAACATATCTATCAAACTTTTAATGTGTTTTTTTTATTTTTATTCTGGTAAAAAAATATGTTTTTTTTTATTAATTAAAATTCTTGCATTACCCACCCCCCCAAAAAAAAAAAAAATCCCTGCATGATATTTTTAGAGAAATTTCAATCATTACAAATAATTTCACAAATTTTTTTTTGATGAATTTCTCTTCGGTGAGTTTAAATTTTTCTGTGAAATTTCTCTTTGAATAGTTAAAATTTCTTTATGAAGAAAAATTTTTCTATGTCAAAATTTTTTTGTGCTAAAATTTCTTTGTGTTGCAATTTCTCTGTAAAAATGTTTAAAAACCCAACTACTATAAATATGTTAAATGTCCCTTATTTTATAAAATTTTAATGTCAACAACTATAAATTAATAAATTTGTAAAAATATGCTCTGAAATTTCTGAAATGAAACACTTTATTTTGTTTTAAAAAATTGAATTTCATATTTTTGTATTCTTTTATTTTTAGTCAAAATTTTAATAATTAATATGTTTTATATGCACCTAACCTAAATACACTTATAAAGTATATTATTTATGAATTTTTGAAAAAAAAATCATTAAATATAAAAAAAATATTAAAAAAAATTGGTACATTTTTCATTTTTTTTGTATTTATTGAATTTTTAAAATATTTTTCACAACTATTTTACTTTAGGTCCATCTAAGTTATGTACATCTAGAAAATAAAATAATTACTTAAAATATTAAAAAAATTAACTCAAAATAAAAAACACGAAAAATAAAAACCTCAATTTTTATAAAATCAATCAAAATCAAACAAGGTGATTTGTTTTAAGTTTTATTTTTTATTTTTAAGTTCAACCAATGAGACTAGTCGGATTGACAAAAACTCTTGCACGTCACTCACTGTAACGCATGAGTCTTATTCCTGTGTATTAATTTGGTTTTCGATTATATGTGATGTATTTAATTTTCATTATTATGATTGTAATTTATTGAGTTTCATTATAATATCTTATATGAATCAAATTAAAACATGCTTATTTTTAAATTTATAAATTTCTCCCCAAGTTTTTAAAATGAAAAAATTGATGTTTAGCTTATTTTCTATATTTTTTTTAATAACATATTTCTCTAAAAAAAATAAAACATAAAATTTATGGACATCATCAAATAATTTAATTACATTTTAAGTTTACCCGTTAAAATTTGGTGTAATTACAAATAAATTAAAAATATACAATTATTATTTTATTTCTTTATTTATACTTACAATTACTGTTGATTATGTGCATCCTTTATAAAAAACTCGCCTGTTGAGACTTTATTTTATTTCATCGTCATTTTTTACCTCAGTACTTTGCGGCAACAACAATAACTTCTTGTCTACGACGCTTCTCCACTGCAGTCTATCTTTTTCATCCAATTACAGTCTACCGATCACCCAACCATAACTCCCTTCTCCAATCAGTTGCATTCCATCTTTTGCCCAACCACCACTTAACCATAACCTCCACTCCTCCATGTAACCCCATTATGTCACTTACTGAAAGGGTAATTTATAAACAAATTAGGTCGAGTTAGGAACAGTCTTCTTTGAGAGTTGGACCTTGTAATGGGCCGAGATAGGTACCAGGACGGTTGGATGTGTTGCTGGGATTGGGACCTATCTACCTTCTGATCGAGATGATGGCAGGGCGATGGGCCGAGCTAGGTGTAGCTCGGCAGGGTGCCAACCTGTAACATGGTCATCACGGCTCGCCCATGTTGAGCACGGAGCCGAGGTATAGACTTCGAGTAGCTCGGTCCCATATTGTATGAAAGCTGGGCAGAGATACTTTGGACCGAGCTACCTAAATAAGTGGGCCTAGTAGTTAGTCGAGGTATTGGTGAGAAAGGATGTCGAGCTTGGTATAGCTCGGCCGGGCGCCATCTACATCATTACCTAAGTGTGTAACCGAGGTAACTTAGCGCGGTGGGGTTGCAGCAGCTTATATAAAGGAGGTAATTGGCAGGGGACCGAGATAAGGCAGTTCAGTCAGAAATGTATAACCGAGGTAAAGGATTCAGCCATCTCATTTGGCTTGCAGTGATGAGACTCCTAGGAGGACTCCGCTAAGGAGAGTAGAGCCCTACTAGGATTATGCAAAACCATCTCACTTGGTTGGTAGTGAGTAGAAGTGTGACTCCTAGGAGGACTCTGCTAAGAAGAGTTAGAGTCCTACTGGGATTGTGCAAACCATCTCACTTGGTTGGTAGTGAGTAGGGTGTGTGATTTCTAGGAGGACTCTCATAGGAAGAGTTGGAATCCTACTAAGAATGTGCCAAGCAGAGTCGATAAAAGCTCATGACCAGACCTATGTACAGGTATCTCAATTCTTACTCTAGAATACACAGAGCTTATTGTCTATTATCTAGTTGCTGACTTAGGCATCGGAGGGGTTTTCGGCACACACCCGCCGGCTAGCTCACGTTTGTGTTTTCAGGAAGTAAAGCGATGACGTTTGGAGGAGTGCAAACTTGATCAACAGGATCATACGAGAAGAATTATTTCGTGCTCGTACAATTGGCGCCGTCTGTGGGAATTTCATAAAAAGCAAAACCTTTTGATTAAGTTTTCCTCTCTAGTTTAAAGCAATGACGCACAATGAAGACTTGCTGCAATCTGTTATTAATGGGCAAACACCGGAAGGGGATGGGAGGCGCGAAGTAGATCCCCAGCAAAGGAATCCACGGAGAGAAGCAAGAGAAAGACAGGGCTCAAGTCCACACCGCTCTCAAAGCCCTGATAGACAGAGGCAGAAGATGGATCCTCAGGTTTTCGAAGATCGCGTAAGGGAGCAAGACGAAGCAATAAGAAAAATGACGACTGACATAGAGTCTATGAAGAGCCTGATAAAAGGCAAAAGGGAGAAAAAAGAAGTCGGAGACAGAGGAGGAGGATTCGAAGCAGAGAAAGTTAAAAAAGACGAAGACAGAGAAGAAAGATTCGAAGAAAAAGAAGAGCAGTGAAGAAGAAAGACGAGTTTAAAGACGGACTTCTCAGGATAATGATGATGGTTCTGAGTCGGAGGAAGAACAATTGCGTTACCAAAGAGCGGGATGCAGCAGCAACAAGGAAGCTAGCTGAGCCAAAATTAACACAGAGGGAGGAAGAAGAAGCTGTTCAGAGATCTAATGTTTTGGAGAAATATGGCATTGGAGCTATAAGGAAAGTTTCAAGGCAAGAGTATTTGAAGAAACTGAAGGAGCTCAGAGATGATATAAAAGACGAGCAGTATCTATTTAATGGTGTAAAATTGACTGAAGCAGAATATCGTGAACTGAGTTGAGGGATTCAATGACAATGATGTCGCCCCTTACTATGGAAGCCCTAATGGAGAGAGTGCACCAACACATCCAAGTAGAGGAAGATAGGACGCATACCAAGGCAGAGTCCGGCGCAACAGTGATACCAGACAAAAATCTTTTTGGCCAGAGTTAACACGGTTGACAAGTAGGATTGACCGCGCAAAAATCTTTGCCCAACTAGGGGCAAAGTGGGTTGGCAGGTTTGACCAACTCTTTTTGAAAAGTCTTTGCCCAACTAGGGGGCAACAAAAGAGGTTGGCTGGAAAAACCAACACTTCTCCTAAGCCGAGGATAAGAATCCAGGCTACAGGACGTTTGGTTGGAAAAACCAAACACTTCGCTCAGAGTTGGCCGAAATAACCAACTTTGAGCTCTCTTCAGCTAGGATTAGGATCTGGATTGAAGAGGTTGGCTGGAAAAACCAACACTTCTCCTAAGCCGAGGATAAGGATCCAGGCTACAGGACGTTTGGCTGGAAAAACTAAACACTTCGCTCAGAGTTGGTCGGAATAACCAACTTTGAGCTCTCTTCAGCTAGGATTAGGATCTGGGCTGAAGAGGTTGGCTGGAAAAACCAACACTTCTCCTAAGCCAAGATAAGGATCTAGGCTGCAGGAAGTGGGCAGGTTTGACCAACAAATTTTTGAACTCTTTGGCCGGGATGATGGTTACCTCAGCCAAAGCAGGTTGGCAGGTATGACCAACAAAATTTTTGGAACTCTTTCGCCGGGATGATGGTTACCTTGGCCAAAGCAGGTTGGCAGGTATAACCAACAAAATTTTTGGAACTCTTTCGCCGGGATGATGGTTACCTCGGCCAAAACAGGTTGACAGGTTTGACCAACAAACTTTTGAACTCTTTGACCAGGATGACAGTTACCTCGGCCAAAACAGGTTGGCAGGTTTGATCAACAAATTTTTGAACTCTTTGGTCGGGATGATGGTTACCTCGGCCAAAACAGGTTGGCAGGTTTGACCAACAAATTTTTTCCTGGACCGAGATGGTTATCTCGACCAAAGCAGGTTGGCAAGGTTAGTATAAAGCGAGTCTGCTCGGCGAGACACAGAAAGAACGACTCGCCATACGATTGCAAACTCGAAAGATATCTACGTTGAAGGCAAAAAAGCAAGGCTATTCAAATTTTTGGCATGACAGTGGTAACAGGAGAACAAAGGTAATACGGGCCATGTATCCTGGGAATGACGTCGCACCAAATTAGTGGAAAGACGTGCTGAGCAACTGACAAGACTTGTTGGGACTGAACAAGCTATGAAACCGAACAAACTTTTTAGCTCAGCAGAATGAGGTGTTCTTAGCTCGGCTGGAAGAAAAATAATCTCAATCATGCT